CTGATGGCAAAAGCAAAAAAGCTCACTGACTTTGAACGTGGTAGGATTGCTGAGCTGCATAAGCAAGGCCTCTCACAACGTGCCGAAGTTGGACGCAGTAAGACAGTCATTTTGCATTTTTTAAATGATCCTGAGGGTTATGGAACAAAAAAGTCAAGTGGTAGACCCAAAAAAATTTCACCAGCTCTGAGCCGCAGGATCCGATTGGCTGTCTGTCAAAAAAATTTCACCAGCTCTGAGCCGCAGGATCCGATTGGCTGTCCGTCAAGACACAGGATGATCCTCTACCCAAATTAAGGCCATTACTGGTGCTGACTGCAGCCCAATAACCATCAGACGGCATCTGTGAGAGAAGGGCTTCAGAAACAGAAAACGTCTTCAAAGGCCACATCTTCTTCAACGCCACAAAATTGCCCRTTTGGACTTTGCAAGGGTGCACCAAACATGGGACATTGAAAGGTGGAAGAAAGTTGTCTTCTTTGATGAGAAAAAATTTAACCGTGATGGTCCTGATGGCTTCCAACGTTACTGGCATGACAAGGAGATCCCACCTGAGATGTTTTCTACACGGCACAGTGGTGGGGGCGCCATCATGATTTGGGGTGCGTTTTCCTTCAATGGAACAATGGAGCTTCAGATTGTGCAGGGGCGTCAAACAGCAGCTGGCTATGTGGAGATGTTGCAGCGGGCATCCCTCATGACTGAGGGCCCTCGTCTGTGTGGTAATGATTGGGTTTTTCAACAGGACAATGCTGCGGTTCACAATGCCCGCCTGACAAAGGAGTTCTTCCAAGAGAATAACATCACTCTTTTGGACCATCCTGCATGTTCCCCGGATCTAAACCCAACTGAGAACATTTGAGGATGGATGGCAAGGGCAGTTTACAAAAATGGACATCAGTTCCAGACAGTGGATGCCCTTCGTGAAGCCATCTTCAACACTTGGAGCAACGTTCCCACTAGCCTCCTGGAAACACTGGCATCAAGCATGCCTAAACCATTGTTTGAAGTTATCAACAAGAATGGTGGAGCTACTCATTACYGAGTCCTTTTTTTGACACTTTGATTTCTGTTTTGAGGGGTTTTCGGGGTTTTTTGAGCTATGGTCTTTAAACTTTTGATCAGCTGAAAAAAAAATCATGTTTGAGTGTAAATGCAGTTTTCAGAAAATTCCCTGCTCAAAAGTTCTTGTCTCTTGCACTGATTTCTTCTTTTAACATTGTGAAGCTCTACTTAGAACCTTCTTAAGATCCAATAGTGCAAAATGCAAATTCTTGCGCTTTTTTGACTGGTCTTAAGATTTTGATCAGGAGTGTATGTCCACTGGTGAATGAGATACAGTACATGTTAAGTGCACACACATACACATAAGCAAAAACGATTCTTCCTTTCTCTTTCAGCAGTAGGTAAAGAGTTGAATATCAAAGAGAAGCCAACAATTCTACTAAGGATTGCTTATCATATTCATATATATTTAACAAGACAAAATCTCTTTTTCTGCTCTGAACGGTGACCAAATACTTACATTTTCCACCAGTAACAGGAGCAGTGCACCTAAATTTCACTGTATTTTTCCCCAAAATTCACCTTTTTTTTGTTCATCAAGAGGACACAGCTTTGAGAGTGTGTGCATGTGTGTATGCATGCACACAGACACACACACACAGGAGTGTGCCTGAATGAGATGGAAGGTGATTAGAGCTGAAAGCCACCTCAAGGCTGCAGTAATCACGGGAACAATTCTGCACGGGATATGAATGAGTCTTGTCCTGTTTTTAAGGACTCTTGTTCTCACTTGGAGATGAGAGAACAAAGTGCTTGTTCCTTTTTCAGAACAAAAGTTTGTTCTAGCTCTCCCACGAAATTCTATACTGGACCCAACCCATGGGCAAAAAGTAAGTCTGTAAACTCAGCTGCATAAATGCAGTCTGTACAAACTCAAAAGTTTCAGAGAATTACTGTGTTCTAGTCACAGGAAGTTGACCTGCAGCAATAAAACTAATTCATTATCAGACAGCAATGATTCTATATGTTCAGTATTTTCCTCTCAGCTTGGAGGAGCTGTATCTCACGAGGAGCAGCAGGCTCTTGGTTTGAGCTTTTCTTGCAAAAGTGTCCTTGGCCAAGACATGAAATCATTTTTTCCTTTGTGCAAGATAAAGAAAAAGCTCTGAAGGAACGACAAAGTAAAAGCACCACAAAACCACTGTTCATTCACTAACATTTCCAGTGGTGTACTTAAGTACATTTTTCATGTATCTGTACTTTACTTAAGTAGATTTCATCATGGGTACATTTTTCATGTATCTGTACTTTACTTAAGTAGATTTCATCATGGGTACTTTTGGACTTTTACTCCACTACATTTTACATTAAGTATCTGTACTTTCTACTCCATTACATTTCTGTAATGCATTGAATTTAATAGTAATTAATTAATTTAATTTAGTTAAATGAGCTACAACAACACCTAATTTCCCTCTGGGATCAATAAAGTATTTTTGAGAATTTGAATTTAATTGAATTACAAATTACATTCATGTCACAATGCTTTTTTTGTGTGTGTTTTATTTGTTTTTTTAGTTTGAAAGTAATCAGTGGCGAGAGGGGAAATTGCTGTAATTGGTCCATTGAACCACTGCAAAGCAGGGAAGTACCCTTAGACCCTCCTTCATAAAAAGGCAGAGCATCAGCATGTCCACAATAGTTTCCACCATGGAGGAAATGTGCCACTCATGGCCTTATTTAAAAGACTTATTCAAGTTAACTGGTTCAAAAAAATGACTTATTAGATTTGATAGAGGATGTTGGTGGTGAATTTACAGCTTCAGTAGCTGTTGTCACAATCTGTGATGATGCACAGAATCACAGGTCAGAGTGTAAACAGTGTCACAGTGTGTAAACACAAAAACATGCATTACCTGCAGCTTTGTTCACTAAAATGACACCATTGATGTATTAAAATATACATACAGTAGGCACACTTCATGATATTGTAGACCATTAGGGAATACATTAAACAAGTACTTTTACTTTTAATACTTTAAGTATTTTAAAAGCTAGTACTGACTTACTTTTACTCAAGTAAAATGTTAATATGGTACTTTTATTTTTACTAGCGCACATTCTTGTCTGTTTATCTGTACTTTTACTTAAGTACAGTGTTTTGAGTATATTTTCTCCACCACTGAACATTTCTCAGTCCAGAAAATGCTGCAAAGTCTGGCTGTGTTGATAACTTTCCTTCGACATTTGTCACCAGGAGGATGTCAACCACATCCTAAAAGGCTTGTGATTTTGTGGAGTCTAAATCTCTTTTAACTTAAACCATCCGTTCTACCTTTTTCACCTTTAACTCCTGCCATTTGTGGCTGTTTGGACGTAGAAATAAGAAAAACAATCTGTAAAATCCACCTGGATATTGAGGAGGGGCTCTGTTTGTGAAGCCAAATGCAAAGTGGTTCTTTATTCCATTTTGGGTTACTTCTGAACATTTCCTTCACTCACCTAAAACATCCTTGAAAATGTATAGGTGAACATGTAAATATAAAACAGTATTTATACATTAAAATGCCTCATGTTCATTTAATGATGCAAACCATTACAGCACATACAGACATATTTTTGCCCCACACCTGCAGTGAGAGCAACTAATCTTACATTTCCCCTAGAGGAAAAAAAAAAGTACATTTTGGTTTCATAACTGCAGACTCCCACAGTCTATTAAGTCATAACTGTGACCACAACAGCACTGTAATAAAAATGGCACCAAATAGCTGAAAATCAAGTTGTTTCAATTAATGAGACTTTGTGGTTGAACAACCAGAAAATTTGGTTTACAGTGATAAGTCCAGAACAGCTCCATGGTGACACAATTTACTTTCCTCATTTGTTTTCAGACATTTTTAATCAACAGCAGCCCGAACCTCATGTTCAGCATGCGCTCGCTCTATAATTGAAAATGTTCTTTGTGGAATTCAGGTTTAGAACAGACCTCAGCCTTCCAATTTATTTTCAGAAAAGTGTTCCTTATTTTATGTTATTTTTTTCCCTTTTTCACACGCGCAGTTTCCTGCTGTTCTCTGAATCAAGCAGAGTCTATATGGGAGGTGTGAAGGTGTTTGTGTGTAGGAGCAGAACAGGAGAGACACACACAGTCGGGGAGGAGATGGCTGATGACAATTCCTAACTGTCAAAGCTAGACAAGTGGAAACCCAGACAGACTGAAATGGGTTATATCATGGACAGCTCAGAGATGACACTACATTCTCTATTATTGACCGCTGAGTATTAAAACGTTTATTTTTTTTCTTAATACGCAAGGACTGGAGCTTAGACCCAGGGAAATATAAATTATTTTAGGTTCTCAAAGAAACTGTCAAGCCACAAGCACTTAATCTAACAACCGTCACAGGCCTGTCTTATGCCTTATAGTTATTTTTTATACCATCTGTAAGATTTAAATAAACTGAGGCAAAAAATAATAATAACTTTTTTAATTTTCTTATTGAGCTCTTGCCCCTGCATTTTTTTGTGTACCGAGGGGTTCTCATAAAGAATAAGAACAAGACCATAAATTGCACCCACTTTCTTAAAAGGTTGCAAGTTTTTATACGTCATGCAAATGATGCAGTGAAAAGGTTTTCTATCTTAAAAGAAAGTGTGGGAGTGATTTTTTCCCCCCAGTAATATAAAGCCAGCAGTTATTGGGCTCAGACTGTGAAAGTGTGGTTCAGGGAGCTTAAGACACCGTTTCGACCCATGGAACAGTCATCACAGAGGTCAGAGCTTAACCCCATTAAACATCTTATTGGTGTTCTAGAAAACATTTTAAGTTGAGGGCACTCTAATGATTACTCCCTCATTATCAAGTCACATGCTTGGTAAAAGGAAATACATGTTTTTAAATGATATTTTTTTTATGATAGGACGCAAATATGAAAAAAGCTGTGCTGCAGACAGACTTCAAAGTGTGACATTTTGTCAATATATTTGCATACCTCAACAACAGTGGTTTTGGCTGCCTTGCACATGGGTTGGTTGAAGTTTCTGGCTGTCTTCCTATTACAGCGAAGGACAAAACAGACATAATATCAAAACAAATAGGATTTAAGAAAATATTTATTCAAAAATAAGTGATTTTTAATAGGTTTTATTGTGATGTAAAGTATATTATGTTCAGAACAAAATCAACAATTTATTGAAGAACACTGCTTTCTTGTGGAAAAAAACTGTAACTGCACCATTTATACACTACATCCCATCACTTATCAAATTAGTTAAACACTTATGACAGATGCATACTTAATATAACATATCCTAACTGAAAAACATTTATGAATATATGAAATTAGTCCCTTTTTAACCCCTTTCGATTATAGATTTTTTTCTCCAAAGTCTAATCTAAATGTTATAACAGTAAAATAAAATTACCAACTTTTACAAGTTATTTTAAATGTACGTATAGGTCCTTTTCAAAAACTTGTTAGTGTTTGACCCCCCCAAATGCATGATAACTGAACTGCCTCAATTATTTTTGTTCAGTTTTAATTTTTCTTGGTCATCATACCTGCTCCAGGTTGTAAAGGACTTTCTTTCCATTGACTGAGTCACAAGAATCTTCAGTTTTCAACAGTTGTGAGTGTGTGCTCCCACTTATTTTTAGCACTAACATACACAGCAAAAATGACCTGAAGAAAAAGCTGAAAGTCTGCCAGATGCTTGTTGGAATTAAAAAAAAACCTAAGTCAGGAAGAAGCTGAATCTTTGGAAGGATTTTGTTTTGCCTCGAAGCAACAAGGCTGAACCCCTTTTCATTTTTTACTGTTACTCATTTAAAAGATTACCGTACCTAAAAATAATGTTTCCTGCTTTGTCAGCTTTCCAAGCTTTGATCAGGGCAAAATCTCCAGTGATGGCTTTTTCCATGATGTAGTGTCTGCCATTGAACTCCCGCACCTGTGCACATCATTTCCAAATGTGAGAAAATGGGTTACATTTTTATGTTAGTACCTGTTCCTTTTATTTTGTAATAGCCAAATAAGATAAAATCATGATTCGTTAACTTCATTCAGTGTTCCACTATAGGAAGCACCTTGGTTTGACTGACTACAGAGGCCCCAATGACAAGCAGGAGTGGGCTACATCTCACATAGTGAAACACTGAGTGAGGTTAGAAAAAGTTAAGAGGTGCAGAGGCCACTGATGTGCAGATTAATGCTCAAAAACGGATGACGGCATTCTCACCTCTCTCTCCTCACTCGCAATGGCAATGCTGCCATCTTTGTTGTACTTAATAGGTGAGCCTCCCTCTTGGATGAGAGTGCCATAACCAGTGGGTGTGAAGAAGGCTGGAATCCCAGCACCTCCTGCCCTGATCCTCTCTGCAAGAGTGCCCTGTGGGAAAAAGTGACAGACTTTACAATCGGTGTAAAAGATTCATTTTCACTAGGGATGATAGATGCTAAAATCTTGACTGAACTTCTACAATCACATGCTGTCTCCAAACATCATCATATCCACTATCTTATAAAAATGCTGTATGGATCAAATGCTGACAGAGAAAATTAAGCAATGAATTAATGTGTTTGAGTTGCAAATATGTACTGTATATTCATGGGCTGATCTAATTTATTTTTTGATTAATAATATAATAATTGTGCATGCATGTGTATTATAACCAACCTGTGGTGTTAGTTCCACCTCCAACTCCCCTGACAAATACTGCCTCTCAAACTCTGCATTTTCTCCAACATATGAAGAAATCATCCTCTTGATTTGCTTCGTCTGGAGCAACAGGCCCAGGCCGAAGTTATCCACTCTGATGAAAACATACAAACGTATTCAATCTTATAGTCTCAAATAACTCACTGTATTGACTGATATGTCAACAACAGATTTAAAGTTGAGGAATTAGGGGTCACATTGTTGTTCTGTTTCAACGTATTTAATTGAATAATTTTTTAGCATGTAGTTTGTAGGGCTGGGCGATTCATCAGATTTTGATCTAGATTACGATTTGCATTTTCAACGATCATAAAAGCATAATGATCGAGGTTCGCAGTTTACGTCGGGCCGTTTAATTTCCGTGATGCAAAAAATGCAGACGGAATCCAGTCATGGAATCCAGTATAAAACGCGGAATCTCACAGAGTTCGCTTATTTGGGCGAGTTTCTGAGGTATTTTGACCGCTGCTGCTCCCTTTACCTGCCCTGGTAACAGGCACACGTGAGCTCTGAGCTCCCTTCAGGAGGAGGGGGAGGGGGAAAAATGCTGCGACCGCAACTCGTGCAGCGAACACCAAACGGTTATTTATTTATCTGTAGAAAAACTTTCCTGKAAGTTTTGTCAGCACATGACGGGCTGGATGCTGTGAAGACCACTTCCTCTCTGAGTCACAGACAGAGGGGCAGACACGCTGAAAACTCCTCAACAATCAGAAGTGAGGTGGGAGTCCGGGTGGGAGGTTATCCGAGATTTTGTTGTTGTGTGCAGAATCAGATATTCCTTTAGTAAAAATGAAAAACTTTGTCCATTTTTTGATAAACATTGTAAACAGTGGGTGTGTGCGTCAACTTACATTAAGTAAACGAGCTTAGATCCTACTCAGTTGCTATTTGTAGGTTTTATGTTTCTTTATGACATGTTTAATGTTAAGTTCAGTTCTAAAACATTTTTATTTTATAAAATATAACTTCTGTTTTACATGTTTTTTTCGTAGTAAATAAACAAAAAATATTTAATGCTGAACCACAGCTATTTGTTTTATTAGTGAAAGTAAAATAACAGACTTTTTATTTATTTTTTTAATTATTGTTCAGTCACTTTTTAATTACACACGTTTTAGTTTAATAAATAAGGTTACAATGAAAATGTGGATGTTAGGGGAAAAAGTGGAATTTAGAAAAGTAAAAACAAAATTTGAAATAAATAAATAAATAAATAACACAGATTTTATAGGGCCCTATTCATGCTGTTTTGTGTTGTGAATCCAGTGCCACTACCTGCTGCAGGCTTCTCCCACAAAGTGAAACTTTGTCTAATTTTTTTGCAAAAAATATTTGAAATCCTAAGGGAAACATTGTTTAACAGCCGTTGTTTATGTTCAATAAATTAATGTTATCAAAGTGAATGAATAATTAGTTTAAATAATCTAGATCTCAATTACAATCAAAATAATCAAAATAATAATAATTACATAAGCACAGTCCATTTAATCGTGATTATCATTTTTTGCAATAATCGAGCAGCCCTGGTAGTTTGAATGTTTTTATATTTAAATTATTTATGTTTTACTTGTTTCATTTTTTTTTTCAAAGCTTAACATTAGTTAATAAGCCAAATCAAATTGAGCTCCCATGATTTCCACTTGCATATACTGGATAATATACTACTGATCATTCCTTCACACTTACCCTGCATTGTTACTGACTGCAGTAAGGCCTTTGACTCCAGTCTTCAGTAAACTGTTGATTAGATTTTCTGGAATGCCACATAACCCAAAACCTGCATCAGAATGTAAAGAATAAATAATGATGCTAAACAACAACACAAAAAAAAGGCATCAATCAACAAATCACTGCACTAATTTAGGGTGAACTTTCACCTATTAAATTAAGAACATGGCAAATCTGTAGTTTGAACAAACACATATAGCTAGGCTCTTATTACTACAAAACACACAGGTAAAAGCTAAAGTCCAGTCAACTTGGATGCCTGTTTGTCCTTTCAGAAAGAAGTGACACAAGAGAAAATGTTTAACAATGTCACCCTGAACTTGACTATAAATAAAGCGCTGTGGAATTTGTGCACACTCTGTTTGGATGTTAATCAACCGGCATGATGAACATGCATTTGTACTAACTGGGGTGTAAGAAAATATAGATACACTGAAATATCGCGATATTTCATTTCCTGATACTGTATCGATATTCTAAAGCCCTGTATCGATTTTTAATTAAGGTTTAAAATGTCAACCTTCTTGCCAACCGTTCATTTTAATGTTGTAGTTCAGCCTCTGACCACTAGTTGGCAGCAGTGAGCCAGCCATTTGGCTCCTCTACCTCTTGAGTGCCAGAGAGTAAGGGTAGCACTAGCATTGTAAGTAAACATTAGCTTTTCTTTTTTTTTTCAGTAAGAGGTTTTTATTTAATATAATTTTTAGACAAAAAAAATCACAATATATCGCAATATGTTGCCTTGCTTACAGTATCGCAATATATCGGGATATATCGTATCGTGACCCCTCTGTTATGATGCGTATTGTATCGCCAAATTCTTGCCAATACACAGCCCTAGTACTAACCAGTGTTTCCCATGCACCATTCTGTGCATATACACATCCTACAAACTGTAAAACCTCTATTGAACCTATGATCATTACCTCCAACCAGAACAGTGGCTCCGTTGGGGATGTCTTTCACTGCTTCTGCAGGATCTGAGTAGAACTTTGAACTTTTGAGGCTGGAGGTGGAAAAGTAACAACCACAAGCCTGCAAAGGGTAGAGCAGGTAATGAGGAAGGACCTTTAAATATATCACATGACCTGCAATAAAATAAGGGCTGCACTGAAAACAGGCACAAGCATTTCTGGATGAGTAAGTTCTAAAACTTTCGAGTCAAATTTCCATAATCATTAAAATAAAGGTAAGCATTGTTTAAATTTGTAATGGTCAAATTCAGGCAAGATAGTTAGTGTTTTCTCATTATTTACATAACTAATGGAGTTCTTAGATATCGCATGATGGTGGGTTATGATCAAATTAAAAAATAATTCAATGCATTTTTTTAGTGCACTAAAAGTTGCCTGGTTTGTGCTGTTTGCATTGGAGAAAACAACACTAGACGGAAGCAACACGTAAACAATGAGCAGTTTTCTAAATATGTCCTTCATGATAACATAAATTGTCCTTGCCCAAACACTTTTCCTCCTTTCTTCTGCGATGCATTAACTTGACTGTGTGCATACAGACCTTGCTGAACTGGTGGCCAGCGAAGTTTGATTTGGTTCTTCGAAGACCTGCGAGGTTTTTGAAGAGTGCTCCCTCTGCTCTGCACAAAGCTTTGAGGGCCGCCATTGGAGCTACACACGGAGTATAAAAAGGCGAGGGGAAACGTGAAACCTCAAGGCAGTTTAATATCAGCTAGAAAGGTCATAAAACGTGAACAGTAGCTCAACTAGCTCACGTTCACGACGTCACTGACTGGTTGGCGACTGGACATCAATGGCCCCGCCGTCTGATTTGCATTTAACCCTGTCACTGCCAGTGCCACTGCACTCCGTGCTGAGCTAGCAAGTACTCTAGCTAATTCAACGCAAGCGTAATTTGGAAATATACGGTGAAAAAAAATTAATGTGACAAATTTGGTAAATAAAACACTAAATATATATTTATAAGTGTTTTTTTTTCCAGTTCGCCTCATTGAGAGTAGGTCCACTTCATTTATAAACACGTGTGCATCACCGTGCAACAGCGTTGCTTCGAGATGAAAGTCGAAATAGCCTTCATAAAATAAACCAAGCCCTTACGTGTTTTCAATACGATGCAAATGTTCTAAATCAGACACAATCAACGTTGTCAACACAGTCAACTGCCGATAAACATTTTTTATTTCACTCCGCCCGCCGCGACTTCACGCCCGGCCATGCGCCGGCGAACAAGCACACGAGCGGACCCACTGACATTCCAGGAGCACGTGAGTAATCCTTTTGCTCACGTGACAAATACTTCTTTAGCCATGGCAGACGAGTACAGACGACAAGGATTTGAGTTGGAAAGAAGAATATTTGAGCTCGACATCAAATGTTCAAGCCTGAAAGCTGAAAAACAAGGTATTCGTGAAACGAGGACGTTATTTTTAACGGGACGTTCCTGTTAACTTAAACGCCGCATAAATTATCTTTGTCTTGTCAGCCAACCAGCAAACTAGCTAACTCAACACAAGACGTTAGCTTGCAGCCATAGCAACAGCTGTTGGATGTCGAAATTATGTATTATAACAGATCGTAACCTTTGTGACAAATTGACTATATGTATCTTAGCCATATCGTAGTATAATTTAGTCACTAAGTCACGACTGGTTTTCAAAAATATTTTTTTCGGAAAACGGCTGTGTAATAATGGTTACTCTTACTGTTTGATATAGTTGTCATTACTCACAATGTAGGACTGGTAAATGTTAATTTAGATACTCTTTAACCATGCCTATATCACCATGTGGTACGCATAAGTGAGTTTTATTAAATTGTATGAATTTGTTGAAGCTGTAGTCTTTAACGTTCAGTGCATCATGACACGGTCTTCTCGTTTTTTCTGCAGATGATGACTATTTACAGAATGCGTCTGCCATATTAGACAAGTTGAAAACTTTTTACAGACAAGGAGAAGAGAGCAGCAACCTTTCCAAGCTGCTTCAGGATTACACACAGGTATTAAATGGCTTATTAAGTGTCTCACTGTGCCTAATGATCTGGCTATGAGTGTTGTACATAACTGATCATTTGTTGGAACTAAAAACTGTGAAAGTTTGATTTATATCTGATGAAGAAGCCCTACTATATGTGCTTGATAAAACAAGCATTTTTTTGTTTAATATCAATGATTCATAATTTTAAAAAAGAGCTGTATTTCTCACATTAGGGTAAAAGTAAGATTTAATATCATTTTCCTTCATGATTCTATCAATTTTACTACCTTCCCATTGCATTGTTTCTGTAAAGAAAATCTTTTGTGGATCATCAAAAAACACATTAATCTGGGAATCTGAAAAAATGTATTTAATTTTAATTTCATACCATATGTGAGATTAATCTGAATAAACAAACGTATTCCAAATTAACCCACCACTTATCTGGTTCATATTTTCCTTAATGTGATTACATCAATTCAGACCTTTTTTGCAGTGATATGCAGATGTCAAAATTAGGGGTGTAAGAAAATATCGATACACTGAAATAATCGCGATATTTCACTTCCCAATACTGTATCGATATTCTAAAGCCCCGTATCGATTTTTTATTAACGTTTAAAATGTCAACCTTCTTGCCAACCGTTCATTTTTATGTTGTAGTTCAGCCTCTGGCCATTAGTTGGCAGCAGTGAGCCAGCCATTTGGCTCCTCTACCTCTTGAGCACGAGAGAGTAAGAGTAGCATTAGCATTGTAAGTAAACATTAGCTTTTTTTCAGTAAGAGGTTTTTATTCAATAGAATTTTTGGACAGAAAAAAATCGCAATATATCGCAACATATTGCCTTGCTTACAGTATCGCAATATATCGGGATATATCGTATCGTGACCCCTCTGTTATGATATGTATCGTATCGCCAAATTCTTGCCAATACACAGCCCTAGTCAAAATCTAGTTTGTTTTTGTCTTTTGTAAAGGTGGTTTGCTTTAGCCGGGGCTGCGATTTCCTAGCAGCTATTATACTATATCTGTAAGATCCCTGATGTTTGAAATCTGATATGGTTAACAGATGACTAAAATCTGTTCGTGGGTCCACGTTTGTCTTTTTTTGTGATCTAGGTGATTCTTGACATCACTTTTTATGAGGAGAATAAGCTGGTCGACCAGGAGTTCCCTGAGGACTGTTCACCATTCAAAATCCAGCAGCTGCTGCAAGACCTAACTGAGCCAGAAGTTTTGGTGACGAGACTTGCACCAGGACAAGAGGTGTGCTTCCAATATATATAGTTCACTGTTTAGGGAGGAAATGTTTAGTAGTGCAATTCAGATTTTTATAAAGTTTCTTGTCTGATTTATTATAATAAGAATCATTTCTACTTTTTAAAATTGCTTCGTACTGCACAGCTGAATTTGCAGTTTAATGGCATTATTTTATTACCGTGCATCAGCGTGATTAACATATTTTTTCTTTTGGTTAGGTTCAGTCTGTGTTGGGCACAGAGCTGTTAGAATGTCTCTACTGGAGACGTGGAGCTCTGCTGTATATGTACTGTCACACTCTTCATCAACGAAAACAGTGGATCAAGAAAAACAAGGACACATTCCTCAAGGTACCACAATGCGCTGGTCCAAGCTCCCTCATTACATTTTGTTTTACTGTTGTTGCCAAAAGGAAATTTCTGTTAGTTAAAGAAAAAGTTTAAAGCTGTCGTCGACCTTTACTGATATTAGGCCTCTTGTACGTTTCCATCCAGTGTATTCAGGAAGGTGTTCGCTATCTGATGCGGATGCTGCAAGTGAGAAACTCTGTTAAGCTCAGTGATGGGGTGGTGCTCCATGACAGCACTACAGCAAGCATGATATCTGAAGGTAAACGTTTCATCTTTAACGCTGACAAAAACTAATCAAAGTTCCTTTATTTTACCCTGCTTATCACCTCTGCTTTTTAAACAGGCATCTTCTCAGACACCCACCTGCTGACCATGATGTACATTGGGGAAATGTGTTTCTGGGCCGTCAAGTATGAAGACTGCAACGCAGAAGCTGCAGAACCCAAAGAAGACTGCCTCCAGTTTCGAGACATCGGTACCCAGATCCTGAACAAATACGTCTGTGCTTGTGAGGGTCCTCTGCAGGGCCAGGGCTGGAGCACCGAAAATGCCAAGGAAATCCTAAGTATTTTACAATAAACAAATTGTTACTCTGTTAAAGATGCCCTCAGACACAGATCTAAGTTCAGTATTCAAACTTGTCAATTCCCAGTCTAAATGAAACCCTTCAAAGGGATGTAATGTGAAGGAGAGGAGCAGGCAGCAAGTGGATATGTAGAAAGGTATGTTTAGGTGAGTGTCTACAGGCTACTTAATCCTATGCCAAAAAGGCCCCAGACAAAGCAGATGAACGAGAGATTAGAATGGGAATAAAATTCTGGGTGTTCAAGAAAGGCTGTTCACTAATCGTTTATGCTATTCTGCTGATAAAGCAGTTATCGTTCTGATTCCAGACTGTTGCCTGGGGCACTCGTTTTGCTCTAAGAATGTGTTATAATAACATTAATATTATTAAAAGGATATTATTTTTAAGAAAATTACCATCTTTAATTTTTATGATTGTTAGAAGTTTAAAGTTAATCCAGCAGGATGTCAGACATTGCACAGTAACATTTTTATTTATTGTTTTGTTGCCATTTTTACATTTTTAAGATATAACAGGGTGACGTGTTTACAGTTTAAACAGAAAAGGCAAAGAAAAAAGTGTTTAAAAACGGATGGACTGGTTTAAATGTTTTAGAAGCTTAATTTTGTTTCCTTATACTCCACTTGAATAATATTATTAGTGTAACAATAAAAAAAAAACTTTGTTGTTTTGAGAAAAAAATGTTTTGTTTTTTATGTCCTTGTTGACAATAAACACATGCATTGTTTCAAGTAAAATAGTCTCTTTTTTTGTATTTAAAAAGCTTTTTATAATGTTGACTCATTTTAACAATAAACTACATTACCCATAATGCCTCCAAAGTGCCACTGATGAGGAAGTTACGGAGGATCAGGAAGCGTCAAATTTGTTGGTCGCACGGTTCAAAGTGTTGGGATTGTTTGTCTTTTTAGTTTTATTTTCTTAAGTCATGTGTGAGAAGAACCAGCAGCCGGAGTCTGTGGTGATCCGCAGCTTCAGGCGCTTCACAAAGCGATATTTTCCTCAGAAAGTTGCCACAAGTGATTTCATGCCTGCTGCAGATGAAGCACAACCGGGATATTTGGACAGTTTGTCGGTAAGGCAAGTGTTTTAAGAAGTTATTTATTTTGCTGTCTAAATATATTTTTACACATAAAAATACGAAGGTCACTTTTCATAGCAAGGCAATAAATAAATAAGAACAAGAAACTGCTGTTTTATGCTTATTTTGTATCTTCAGAAAGTTACTGCATCAGTATGTCACTAAATAAAACCAGTCTTTTTTTTTTCAGTAATGACTTAAAAACAAAATGTCTAATGTGTTAATCAACGATGTTCAATTGAATAATCTGTTGTGCCTAAACAGGTAGAATTTGTGCCCTTTTTATTTTTATAATAAAAGAGCAAACATCTTAAACTCGTTGGAATGATCAGCCTTGATAACCTGAAACAAATTCATATTTATAATCTGTCCATTTTTGGCGGAAGGATCTAGAATCTGGCAGAGGTAGAATCCACCTACCAGGATCTGTGTTCCCTCTTAAATTAAAGGAGTAGCAAATCATAATCTGGGAAGTACAAATTGAAACTTAATGGTGGAAAACCTCTTAGTCCTTCACTGAAGGGGTGATCCAAATTCTGCCAGTGGAAAACTCCTATACAAAAGGCACTTATAGGGCAAAGAAAAGTTTTTTTTTATAGAAATTTAATAAAAGTACATCCATCTTGTGGAAATAATTTTGGAACTAACTTTCATTGTTAATTGGGCATTAAATATATTTCCTCGTACCGTACTTTATTATGTGTTTTGACAAATGTTTTCCATCACTTCCATCTCTGCCGTGCTTCAGTTTTGGTCCTCTCTGCACAGGATGTTGTTATCTGGATAACTGGCAGCTGCTGAGCTGGCAGATTGATTTCTCTTGACTCAGACCACTCACTGTAGTTTCCCTCTTGCAATTCTCACTAGGAAGCATTTTGATGAGTCAGCAGATTGTTACTGCTTCAATAAAAAATGACAAACCTTTGGAATAAGCACAACTTTCCTAACCCAATTTGCAAAGTTAAGGGCCATTTGATCAGATGAAGAAAATGATTAAAATGCCATTTCTGTTATATCAATCAATCAATCATATCTTTATTCCAGACACAAAAAAGGTCCATAGTAATATATATATATACATACATACATACATACATACATACATACATACATACATACATACATACATACATACATACATACATACATACATACATAAAATAAAAACAAAACAAGCAAAATGAGAGAAAATAAAACTAATGTACATATTCATCATCCTGTAGGTGGACATCCAGTTCCTGATCATGACTTTTCTCTCCCCTATGGATATCTGTCAACTGGGAGCCACCAGTCAGTACTGGAGGGCCATGGTCAGAGATCCATTATTGTGGCGGTACTTTCTGTTGCGAGACATGCCACACTGGTCCTCCGTCGATTATCTGAGCATGCCCAACCTGGAGTTACTGGATGCTCCACTAGTCTGCGAAGATGAGAGCTTGGATGATAGAGAAGAAGGGGAGGAAAAAGGGAAGGAATTGAAATTTGACTACATGTCAGAGTGAGCTTTTTTTATTTTTTTATTTATTTTTTTCTAAAAGTCAAACTGTAACAATGTAACACAAAGGTTTCTGTTTTAAATTTCCAGGTACCTAAAAGGTTGCCCGTCCTGCCGACAGCAGTGGTTACCGTCACGGCCAGCATATGAGCTTGTGACCTCATTTCTTCAGTATCTGGTCCCATCATCTGAGCCTCGTTACGCCATGTTTGGTCCTGGGATGGAGCAATTGGATGTTTCTTTAGTCAGAAGGCTCATGCATGCCCCGGACTTGCTGCCTGTGTCCGGCACTCCAAACAGACAGATAAATGGTAAGACAACACAGTTTTTGGTGTTCTTTTTAAAAAATATACATATTTTTAACATTATAGTTAGCATAACAAAATATAAAATTGGCAAAACCTGTGTTATCCTCAAACATAGGCAGTGGCATTTCTCTTGTTTGCATCGTCTTAATTGTAGGAGCAGTTGTTCACCACTTGGTGGCAGCATTTGCTACTATTGCCCACCATGATACTCAAAAATACAAAGACACTTTTCTTTTTTCTTGTAACAGGTATTGGCTCAGGGATCAGCTACATGTTCAACAACCAACACAAATTTAACATCCTAACCCTGTATTCAACAAACAGGTAAGTGTTTTGTTGTCATTCACCCAAGAGTTGTAATTATTTATTTGTATATGCAAGGAAACTACTTGATCTGTTAAACCTTGTGAGTTTGTGTCTGCAGGGCAGAGAGAGAAAGAGCCAGGCTGGAGCAGCAGAGCATCAGTAATAAGCTGTTTGTCTTGGAAAGAACGGAGGATTCAGGCTGCCACGTCTACAGCCCCGCTCCTCAGGTGCAGCAGGTGTGCCAAGTGGTGGACGGCTTCATTTATGTAGCTAATGCAGAGCCCGGTAAAGGTGAGGGAATGGATCTTTTGTATTTAATTACAGCTTCCTGGTTTTTGACCACCTTGTCATGGAGGCCGTTCGTTTTGGCAGGTGTTGAGAAGTCCGAGGTGGGCCACATCAGAGCTGTGCTGAACTGCGTCGAGGACGCCACAGCCAAGCCTCTTCTGGTGCTCTCCTGCATCTCCAGAGAGCAAGCAGGCGATATTAGTGGTGCCAGATGTCGAACTCCATGTGTTTATGTGGCGAAGAGACTCGGCCTCCCGCAGCTGTCTAATCGCTGGATGGTAATTACTTAATCTTTAACCAGCCGAGAGCCTTCTGMACCTGATCGCTGTCAGTTTGTGACCAACCCGTGTTTTTCTTTTTTGTTCGTAATCAGGTGCAGGATACGGTGGCAGAATCGCTGTCAGGCCTTCTGGACGGGATTGCCTGGCTTTTCAGATGTTCTGGCGTCAAACTCTAAGGCAGATAGCTTCCCAACTCCTGCTGCGAACAACAGAGTTTACCTGTGATGTCATCCGAACAATACACACTATTATATCTGAGCTACAAACACGAAGCTGCATATGCACCAGCACATTTTTAATACAGTTTAATCAACTGTAAAAAGCAGAACAATAATATATAATATTCAAGTGGAAGGCCTAACAGAGACCCTGTCATTTACAGAAATGCAAAGGGTAAGGGTAGTAAAATAAACTCAAACTGCAGTTTTGAGCAGAACTTCTGACAGAACAGCAAGGAAAAACATGTGTAAAGCAGTATTTATAATAATCATTTACATACAGGGACAGAAAAGGCAGGAACACTAAGACCAGTGGTCAAACAGGAATTAACTGACAAACCATCACTTTGGAAAATCTTTCATCTGTTCCAGTTTGTTTCCCATATGATAAAAAATGTTGAAATACTCACTAATCAGCTGATAGAAATATTTGGTATAACATGGAGATTTCAGTTATTGGTAGGGTTTATTAGAATCATAACTTTACTACATTAACAAAAATGGTTGTTTTCAGTTTCTGTTAGGTTTTTGACCTCGATATTTGACTGTCAGTGCAGGAGTGTGCCAATGTGGAAAAAAAAGCATATGAAATGTCATAATATCAAATATTTGCACTCAAATAATTTAATATAAAAYACTGAACTAATGAATGAAACTATATGCACAGATACGTTTATGCAGTGAAGAAATGTTGACTTTTTGTGAGCACTGAAGACTTTAAAGATTGGTTTTAGGTTGCTTTTCTCTCAAAAGTATAGAATTGTGTTCCTTATTGTGTTTTGTTTATTTTTCTTTTTTCCTATTTTCAGTGAYGTCATACATATCAGAGCTGTAATGAAAAGTTTAGAATACTTTTATCGGTTGTCATGGKATGAAGGCTTTGCTTTGTTTTGATTACCAGGAGGGATTAGTGTTATGTCATTGAGTATGTAGAATCAGTAATTACATCTTTCACTTCCTCCTTTTTTTAAAGATGTTGTGTTTTGTTTATTATATTATTTTTTAAATTCCATATATTAAATTCCTGAGAAGAAAAACTGTTTGTATGTTTTTGTGTCTTACAGAAAGTTTAACTTTACAAACATACATACATGTACTTTTATGTGTTTAGGAATGGCTAAAAAAAACCACAAAAAAAACCACACCGACACAGATGGATTGTAGGAATTTGCACAAATGAGCATCTCTAAAATCATTGTTTACCGTTTCTATTGCATAAAAATATATATTTTTTTCTTTTTATGTTATTTGTCAAAAAAGTCAGCACAATTGCAGCACTTAAATTTTCCTCGCCTTGCCCTTCATGTGTTTTTCCTTTCAAAAATGACCACTTGTTTCATTTTCCAGGTCCCAAATGGTGGTGTTCAGACACTCTAATGGCAACAATAGGATCATTTCTACAGTACATAAGGTATGACAAGATAATATGTTTCACTGATGCCCTTTTATTCGGGTTCCCTAGGAAACCACAAAATCATCTGCAAATGTGCGTCCCTGATCCAACCAGGCTTTCCACCAAAAAGGTCCTTTAGTTTCAGCAGTCATTTTCCTGCACATACAGTTTTAGAATGAAACCATGATTTGCGTCATTTAGGTGGATTAAGCTCAGCTGAACTGTGGCGGAGATTGCTTTTTCTTATTCAGGTACTTTTTTTTAGGGAAATGATGGAAAAGTAAACTGTTGAGTGTTTGCATCTGGATGTGATTTGTGTGTTTCTAAGAGAGGCAGAGGGACTGACTTGTATCTGTTCTACGTAAACAGGATGTCTTGTCTTCGGCCCTCGCTGCACACATTTTGGATGTGTCTCTGTTGATTTGTAGGTCTGTTTATGAGCTGTTTAAACAGACTGCATGACTGACAACATGGACCACATCAAAAGTGACCTTTTTTGTGGGGGACAAGGAGGGAAACTTTTGAGAACTACTTCTTTTGAGATCATTTTGTGATCATGATCTCCAAAACTGAGAATCATGAATATTCTGACTATAACTCAGATAATTAGTTTAACAAAATTACTGTTTGTTCATGAAATACTTTCATGGAAATAGTTGCTAAAGTATTTTTTTGTATGTTTTAGCAGCTAGGGTGCGTTAGATCCACTGCTTGTTCTTGCTTGGATATTTTCAAGGTCTGTTTACTTAGCTCCCAGGCTGTGAACCGTGAGCACATGTCCTCATCATGGTGGCTGGGGTTTAGTGGGGGGAGGTGCTTAGGCAGTGTTTTGGAAGAGTGAATGAGTGCCAGACCTCCAGCTGCCTCTTGTCTTCCACAGTCACAAGGGGGCTTCTGGGATCAGATCCCCAGATTCACTGACCCTGGACAGCTCACAGATGTATTCAATGACTTTATATACTGTACATAAAAAAACACAAAGATGCTAATCTTGGAGAGTTTTGTGTGTGAAAAACATGATAAACTGTTTTCAAATTTAAAGCCAAAATCAGCTGAGTCAAAAAAAATAATGACCTGTGTTTTTTATTGGTTCTGGGTCTATAAATTCTACATTCGTGTTAGCGTTGGCCTTGTTTAAAGAGAGCTCTGATCGTTGAGCACAATGTTCTGATCTTTGACCTAGCAAATAATTCTGCTCATGTAGAACACATTTATCTTCTTAATAAAACAACGTTCTCTGCCAATTTTAGGAATCTTCCTTTAGCAGTTACCAACAACCTAAACATTTTTCCAAACTGATCACATCCCCACAGTCTCTCTTTATTGTTGCCTCGGTTGAGGGAAAATCTATTTTGAAAAAGCTCAAGAGAAACAAGGCATGGGTTTGTTTTACTCAGTGTTCAAATTTCCACAATATTAATATGTAAAATAAGCCCAGTCCACTGAAATCCAGAAAAATCTCTCTCTCAAAAAAAAAAATCCCAATGAGACTCCTCAGGACAGCCACCACGTCCAGTATTGTTTACCCATGCCCTGATTAGTCAAAGATAAAAAAGGCCCACACAAAGCCTGATCTGTTTAGTTTTTTTCTGCATGTAAAAGGTTTGCACTGTTAAAATGTGTTTTTACAAACCAACATGATTTATTGTCTCCAACAGCCTGAAAATATTCAAAGATTCAAAATTTTCTAAATTATTTTCTTTCACAAGATGTAACAAAATTTTTTCTTTGGTCTATGATAGAGGCTCAGAMACTTTAAAACACATAATAAAACAAATCGTGCATAAAACTCCAGCTCCTCATACCTCATAAATCATACAATCATAAAATACCTAAAAGCCTTCTTAGTCATAAAATCATATTCTGCAGTTGCAAGTCCACAACTTTAATTTAAAATCTGGTTACAGT